TACTCGAAAAACATATGGTTAACCAACCGTTGGTAGGTTGCCTTAGCATTTTTTAGGCCAAAGGGCATAACCTTGTAATAATACAGTCCTAGATCTATAATGAACGAGGTATGCTCTTCGTCAGGTGTGTACATTGGGATCTGATTGTACCCTGAGTAGGCGTTCATAAAGCTCAGCAGCTCGTGCCTGAAGGTGGCATCAACAAGCTGGTCAATCCTTGGCAAGGGAAAACTATCCTTCGGGCAGACTTTGTTGAGGTCGGTGAAGTCGACACAGGTTCATCACTTGTCGTTGGGCTTCTTTACTAAGACTTGATTGGAAACCTAGCTTGGGTAAAACACCTCTCGAATATACCCGTTCAAAATGAGCTTATCTAACTCACTTTTCAAGGCAGCATAACGCTCAAGGTCCATGGCTATTCTCTTCTGGCAAACCGGCTTGACTGCACTATCAATGTTGAGTGCATGATATATTACATTTGAGCTGATCCTGATCATATTAGCATAAGTCCATGCAAAAACATCGACATTCTCTCTGAGAAAGCTTGTCAAGCTTTTGGCGAGCTGGGGGTTGAGATTACTCCCGATTCTCAACACTCGGGTCGGCTCATTTTGATCGATTGATACCTCATATAGGTCCTCAACTGGCCAACTATGAGAGCACTCCTGGATGTGAGGGTCCATGTTGTCCTTTACTGGGCCAGGTTGTGGCTCGATCTTACTGATTGTCATAGCCTTCTTTGGGATTCCTATTGGCCTTCCTTTTTCCTTGCACGCCATTTGCACTGCTTTTATGTAGCAGTCACGAGATTCACGTTCAGATCCTTTTACTTCCCTAATCCTCGTCAAAGTAGGGAACTTCATTTTCAAATGGTAGATGGAGGTGACTGCCTTGAAACTTCTTTGTAGAGGTCATCCCAGAATGCCATTAAAGGCAGATATATAGTCTACCACCAAAAGCTTTGTCATCTTGGTCATTTCGTTGGTCTCACCCAACGTGACAGGGAGTACGATCGTTCCCTTAGGAATCGTATGATCCCCAGTAAAATCATAGAAAGGGATGGAGGCAGGCTTTAAGTCTACCTTGTCTAATTGCATTTTTTCGAAAGCTCGCTGAAACAGGATATTCACAGCACTTCCATTATCCACTAACATTCTGTGGACTTTGCACTGACCTATTTCAGGCGTGATGACGAGTGTATCCTCATGGGGATGATGCAATCACACCACGTTTTTCTCTGAGAAGGTAATCTCCTCTTCCCTACGAACTTTAATAGGTCGTGGTGTCGTGCTCATCACACTCACGGGGTCATAACGAGCTTCCCGAGTATACCTTTCCTAGGCACCTTGAGAATTCCCTGTGAGGTGTGGTCCCCCAAAGATGATCCCTACATAGTAGAGACCTTTGTGACCATGACGCTTCTTCCCTTGTTCCTCTTGATCCTTTTCCCGAACTAGAGTTGGACCATCAACATACTCCTTGAAGTGCCCTTGCTTGATGAAGTCTTCAATTGCTTACTTGAGAGCCCGACACTCATCAGTGTGATGCCTATTATCCCGATGATAGCGGCAGTACTTTTTGTTGTTCTTGGCTGAGGGGGGATTCTTCATGGGCTTTGGCTCTCCGAGCAAGCTGACCTCTTTTGACTTATCCAGAATAGCCGACATTGAAGTATTCAAATGAGTGTATTGAATTTTGTCACGATCGCGACGCGGAACTTGGCCATAAGATTTTTTAGGCTCGAATTGCTGCTTCTTTCCTTTCCACTGATTGTCATTTGCCCATCTAGGATCAACCTTTCTACTGTTCTCCCCTCGATCAGGAGCATTGGTCGAAGGATCAGGGTCCTGGTGATTAACGGCGGCCATATAATTTTTTATTCGAAGATACTTCTCAATGAGGTTGTAGAAACGAGTGAGGGAAACATCATCCTCAGATTGCAATTCTTTTCACAAGTTAGTCTACGGGTGAACCTCGATGATAATGGGAGTCCGAACGGACTCTTCGGGATTGTGAGCCACTTTGTGAAGTTCCCTGTGGAATCTGTCTATGTAAAACTGGAGAGATTCGTTCCTCTCTTAATGTATGTTACTTAGATAGCTCAACGGCATCGAGAACTTCCTGTTCGCTTGGAAGTGTCTCAAGAATGATGAACTCATTTGTTGCTACGAGCTGATAGATCCCGCAGGAAGTGATCTGAACTAACGCTTGGCATGGACAGTTAGAGTTATTGCCAAGTAGCGACATTTAGCCAAGTCAGAGACTTGGTGGAGTTCCATGAGGTCATTGAGCTCGTAAAGATGATCCTACGGATCAGGATTCCCATTGAACGCGCGCATGCTGGGCATTATGAATCTGGATGGGAGAGAAGCAACTAACACCACTGGAGAAAAAGAAGACACCTCAGCAACCTTCTCACGCTCATTCTGCTAAGTCTTAAGCTGATCCAAAGCCCACTGTAATTCCTTAATTTGAGGTAGTGGAGCTACCTGAGGATCACTTTCCGCAACGTGGGTTCGACCCTTATGGTTGTGGTTGAGGAAGGACCGCAAATCGGACTCTTCCTCAACTTGGCTGGAAGCTCTAGCAAACCTTGACACACCCTGCCTAGGGCCTTGTGAAGGCATTGAATGGCTCGGGGAGTTTTCTCAACCTCTGCGGTGGTAAGAACTAATCCAAAAATGATGGGGTTTTCCCGCATGATGATGGTCGAGGTCATCATGTCGGCGATATTGGGAATCTCCATGCCTTGCACTTTTGTGGGAATGCCTATGTGATGTGGCGTGGGACGGCTCATGCTACGACATGTCGTCAAGTCGTAATGCCAAGGTGTTCTACCTGCAATGTGATCGGTGTTCGCCAGTCCTACGGAGCCCTTTGGTGAACTGTTTACCACTTGCTTTCCTCGGTATGGCTTTCACACGACCTGTAGGCATTTTTGTCGGTGGCACTGCCTCGTTGGACTCTGGTGGTACGACCCAATCCAAACTGTCTAACCTTTGGCTAACCGTTTAGAGAGTATTGTTGAACCTCTCCAGGTAATTCGTCACAGCCGGGTCGAGTTGTGAGCTCGAAGGAATATCCGCCATGGTACTTTGCTAGATTGGCGGCACTTCGGGAGAAGTGTCATTCTATACTCGGGGGATTTCCTCATTGTCGAGGTTGGTTCGCTTAGTTTTGAAACCGCGAGCCATTTGCTGATGGATAGGACCGATTGGTCAAAGGTTTCTGATGAAGAGCGGATACTAAATCAGTGCCCTCCTTCTAGCACCAACTATTGATGCTTGATTTTGACACCAATGACTCGCACGTGCAAAGTACTAAGCGGACTTAGAAATTACACGTGATATGGAAATATGCAATGAGAGAATAAATGAGAAACGGTTTTTAAAGTTGTTCGAATGCTCAAAAGCGAATCCTACGTCCACTATGGTTGTATTAATAGATGGTTACAGTCAGGTCGCATATAGTAAATTGAATTACAATCTAGAAAGATTTTAAATGTAGAGAGAGAGTGTGTGTGTATGCTTTTGAAGACTAAAGATGAGTCAATCCTGTAAATGAGAGAAGAGCCCTCTATTTATAGTTTGGGGATTTAAGGTAGTAATCATGATTCTACAGTCGGACAGATGTGATACAATTTCTAACCTGCTTCCCATTGGTTGTCTGCACGGGAGACATCATTAAATCGCGTAGGGCTTGGGCAGGTGGACAATTCCTAGCCACTTGAAAACCCTGCATTCACCTGCCACACTGACAATAGCCTTACCTCTTCCGCCCTTGTGCGACGTGACAGCGTCTAGACAGCACAAAGCCTTCCTGAACTCTGATTGGCCCTTGCTGACGTGAGCTCACATCAGCCTTGATTTGTTAGGCATAACACGAATAAATAAACACACTTACCCATTCAAATCCCTTCAAGTGTTCTGAGTCTCCTCCCTGAAATTGCTGGGAAAAACTTGTGCCTTCGACCTTCTCCTTCTTAATATAGTCAATTTCTATGATCAAACACATGTTACGTAAGGAAAACCATCAAGTTGATTTTTATTCTTTGACGGAAAAAGCATCAAACACATATGGTCCACTAACAAATGACAAATATTATTAAGAAAAAGACATTAGTGTTTAGGATCGCATTAAGAACTTAATAAAAAAAATTGGTTAATTGATAATTCTCGAAAATTCATGTAAGACTCTGATCCTTAAACTTTATTATAAAGTCCCCTTGTATGATTTTATCTGGGTGAAAGATTCAAGTTAATTGAAAAATGGTAGCATCGGTAGATCCATGAGGAAGTCTATGGTGCTACCATTCCAAATTAAATGCTTCATTTATTATATACCAACTAATTAATTGAAAAAATATATATTAAAATGTTATTTATAATTTTTTTTTTCTTTCATCATCTCACTTGGACAGTAGCCCAGTAAGAATAAATTACTCTTAAGATTAGGTGTTCTAAATTATTAATCTCTTACTTTAAGATTCAAACTTTTTTATAAAAAATTATCTCTCTTTCAATCTTTAAAAAAAAAAAATGTAAAATAAAGTTAAAAAGAGATATAATATCTACTTTTGTTGATTAACATTTATTAATAAATTTGCTTGAATTAAAGCTATTTTATACCGAAGTACTCTCTTTGAAGAGTCTAAGAGAAACTAGTTCGTTTTAGTGTTTTGCATCAAGCCTTCATAAATAATGGCTTCTAAGGGTTACTTTGAGTTCAATAACAAGAGGGACAGGGTATCAAAAACATCTATTGGACTCTTTTGAAATATTATATCCAGGAGACACCACCGATATAAATTAATTATCTAAAAGATTAAAATGCGAACCAACATTACCAAGAGAATTAATTTGCAACACTAATTAAAACTTAATTCAATTAATTAACTTTTAAATTTGTTTAAACGAATACAACACGAATTAAATTTTTATACGAGAAAACAATAGCAAATAGGTTTTACAAGATGCTTTAAATACATTAATACACATTCATAATAAACACATTTTTTATTGAGAAAAAAAAATTAATTATTAATTACACTTAGATATTAAGCTTCACTGTGGCAGACGAAGATAGAGAGGAATGGGGTTAAGAGCATTTGGAGCTGAGTCCCAAACAGAAAATGCACTCGTTGAGTTCATCCATTTCTTTGTAATTTCCGGATAATGGCGGTCTAATACATCTTTAAGGCTCTCTGTCGTATTCACCCATTGTAGTCCTTTCTTTGTGTACGTCTCTTCATTGAAATTGCTTGTAAAAAACCTGTCAGCTTCGAGTCTCCTGTAACACCAAATCACACGTTCCAAATTTAGTCTCGTGAGGAATAATTCATATTACAGAAGGAAATTTTAGTTTTTGTTTTCTTTTACCTGGAAGCCATCAGTAGGAAAATTACAAAAGCAGTCTCACTAATGGCGAAACCATTGATCTTTTTCTCAGCCATAAGACCGACTAGCAGATCAAGCTCTTCAACATCATCACCGTAAACTTCATGGAGCACTTGAATTTTTTCCTTATCCGTCGTTAGATCTTCCCATTTAGAGATAGGAATCAATAGTAAGGCCCTCCGGAACTCGTTGTATCTCGCAACTTTTCTCTCCCTGTCTCTGTAAACTGCCATTATACAACAATTCGATTGTCAGCTCTGCTCCAAGTTACATAGAGATAAAATCAAAATCAAATGAAGGGGTAAGAGCAGTGATATAATAATTTTACCTTCAAGAGCTGCTAGGTCTACATGGTCAGCCCTCTCTGTGCCGTCCACATTTTGTGGTATAAGATCCCTGAGCCACAGAGGATAGTTCCAAAGCTCTAAGGCGCCAGAAGCTTGGTGACCCATTGAAACCATTTGCTTTTCGAATCCAATTTCTGATAAGGCTGTTTCTCCCTTAAGCCCAATCAAATTTGCCATAGGTACCCTTCGGACAAGCGAATATTATATTAGAAAAAGTATAGACTATGAATAAATGAAAAAGAGCAGATGGAATCAGTAACTTCTAGGCCATACTTTTCAATCAATGGAGGAGACTTGTTAGCTCCTGGTGCAGCCGTGACATCCCTGAGATCAAGATTGTCTGGCAGAAGAGAGTGCATCCGATAAACGCCAACAAACTCCTCAGTCAATGAATATGGAACACCGTGATTTTCAGGCTTCTTTAAGCCAATGAAACCACTTAATATGGATCCCCCAACATGTCCAAATGTGTCCTTAAATTTCTTTCCCAATAATCCATACCTGAAATACATTGATACAGAATCAAAATATGATCAGCCATTAAACTCATTCATATATATATACATATGTATGTATCTTGATCAGAAACGTAAAGAATTATTAATTTATCTACCAGTTGGCACGCATCCCTGCAAGTAAAGTATCAGTTTTGAGGAGCTCCACTGTCCAATCAATTGTATGGATCTTTGCAATCACAGCTGAAGTTACTAGCCTTGCATGGCGATATAGTTTTTCATCTTCCAGATCAGGATATTCCTTCTGAGAAAATCCAAAGTAAATAGCAGTATTTAAGTTTTAAGTTCAATTAAATCCATATATAAGTTCATTTAGATTAACTAAAAGCAAACGTACCTTGAGGGCGTCACAAACTGCGTTGTGTTCTTTAACAAAAAGAGCCTGTAATGTTGAGACACCTGCCCAACTATTACGAACATCTCCTGTCACAGCAATTCCATTTTCATCATGAAGAAGAAGGCCATCTTTTGATATTTTAAGCTTCCCGTCTTTATAAGTCCTCACTTTCTGCAATCTCTCGGCGTTGCTTCCATATACAGCACTTCCATCCCTTCAAGTTCACAATAATTAATTAATTATTTTATTTTTAGGTGAATAACAACACAATTCTCTTTATATATATATCTCGGGCCTATTCAATAAAATTTTAAAAATTCATAAAGTTCTTACCACCAATGTGTTCGAATATTTAAATGACCGCTTTTGATTTCAGAAGAGCCCGTTCGAACTTCCTTTGTCTTATAGAACCTGAAAGCACTAAGAGGGCATTGGCTTGCAACTTCTTTGGGTGCAATCAGCTCAGTCTGCAATTATTATTGCCAAACAAAATTAATTATTTACTCTTTTCTTTTTGTAATTTCTTTCAAAATTATAAAAGAAAATAATAATTATCAAATTTCCAAATTGAAGAAGTATATTTTGCAAAATACAAATTAATTAATTACCTGATTAGTATCCTCCATGTGGTCAATCCAATCATGTATCATAAACTGAATCCAAGAGGCTGCTATCATGTTGAATTGCTTTCCTGTGTCTACGAAACTTCTTCGTGCTAGAAGTTTTGTGGCAACCACCATTGGATCTGGTTTCCGTAGCTGAAAAGTTTGTGATTAAACTCAAGTTAATATTGGGAACCAGATCTATAAGAAATTAATATGTGTTTTACAGAAGAAATAAAATATTTTAGTTTATTAATTCCCAAGATCAACTAAAATCATACAAAATAATTTTGCGAAATCTTGTTATCAAAACAAATCCAAAATTTAAAATATTTTAGTAGTAGATTGAATTTCCGTTTTAACTGAATTTAATTAAGACTAATGCTATTATTTGTCATATATGATCAATTTTATTGACTTAATTAGTTTAGTTAACATATAAGAAGCATATATACACTTCAATAGGGGTTCAAAAATTTATTATGAGACTTTTCTTGAAATATAAATTAATTAAAGTCTTTACAAACATCACTAAATTCATAATATACTAATGCAGAATTTCATAAAATTTATCGAAAATCTCTCCACAAATTATAATATTGAAAAGTCACAGACAAATCATTAATTTTATGATATTATGCAAATTATTAAATTACAATTATTTAACTAGATAATATATATATATATAACAGCACCATCAAGGATTCATCATTAGTAATTGCCATTTGAATTAAATTATATACGTGAGAAGTTGGTGAGGAGTAGGTATATGATGAATCCTTTAGCTTTTGACTTAATTTTTTTTTATTCAAGTAGTGGTGAAATTGCATACTATGATGAGACAAAAAGAAATACCACCTCGTTGTCCTGATCAACAGGGAGAATATTCCTGCCAAAGAAAGTTCCCTGGCTGCCGGCACTTCCATTGAAGGGGTCATTAAGTTCTCCAGCCGCCGTCCTGAAAGTAATATCAGCAGGATGAAACCTTCCACCAACTGGAGTTTTACCAACGTTGAATAAGTTGTATTGCTGGTGAAGGTGTCGACGTAGTCCTAGATAAGATAGACCTAAGAACACAGGTAAACGAGGCCATATTCCCCACTTATCAATGGAGTGCACAATCTGCATGAAAACGGTATTTAACAGCAAAAATGTTAATCAACTAATCAAAAAGGGCTAAAAAAACACGTCTATTATAGAGGCAATATCGCTGAGGTTTGCTTCTATTTCGAATACACCATTATAGAGTCAAATTTGATCAAAATTATGTCTAAAGACACATACTAAAAGAAATTTCAATAAGGAGATTGGAAATATATATTACAAGGAAGATGAATTTATCTAGGAGAGTCATTCGGGAGACGATGCCATGGAAATCTTTGTGGATGAAATGATAGAGAGGCATGCTGAAGAGAGACTTGATGAAATCCATTACTTGAGCTAACATAAAAATAATTGCTTAGATACTCTTTGAAAATCTAGTGTTCATGTGAATATATATATATAGGCGCATGCAATGCAAGACTCCAAAAGAAATTAGGCGGCCCACGTGAAAAATTTATAATATGTAAAGGATGACGGGAAAATATTCCAGTGGCTGTATGAATAGTTGAAACTATTTTGAAGCTTTGTGTCGTGCTGAATGATCGAAGCCGACTTTGTCAAGATGCATTTGTGAAACGATGATTTTTAAAGTGATAACATTCTTCTAAAAAAAGGATTTTAATTTTTAGGAGGATAAATAATCGTTTTAATATATATACGTAATTATTAGATGTAAATAATTAAACAATTAATCTTATATTATTGGATAATGATACCACCGATCCCGTCTAATCTTACATTTTTCTTCGTAAACAAAACAGGGACATGGGAAATCGTTAAAAATGCTCAAATTGAATAGAATAAAAAATTATATCCTCTTTAAAAATAATGATCGAAAAGAGACGATTGAAAAGAAGACAAGGAAATGACGGAGAAATATGTTAATTAAGTTTATCCAAAATGTTACCTGGAGGAGTGGTTAATTAAACCATATAGTCAGGTCAACTAAGTACTGCTCCCAAATTCATAAACAAATTAAAGTTGGGTTTCATTATTTCGAAGAACACACATCTGGAACAAGAAATTAAAAACACGTCACGGATAATTGCTACAAGTTAAAGATGAGTTTGATCATCCTGCACTGGAACTGGATGTACACCTCAAAAATATTACGATTGAGTTGGGATTAATTACTTAAAAATAATGAAACACTGGATGTGGAAGGAAGTTACAGAAGGTTTAGTTAATTATCTTTACTGTTGTGATATCAGAAGCAACCACATCTGATGTGTCAGTGAAATTAAATAATCTATAAGAAGAAGTTGGAAGATATATATTTGTTTAACTTTATTTTTCAAGTTAACTGGAGTGCTTTTTCAACAATAATAATATGTTTGATAAAATTAATTTTTTAAGTGTTTATGTTTAATAATTATAAGAATATATTTATCTGTTGATTAATTGTCATTAATATTAAATTAAAAACTATATTATTACTAATTTATTTTCGTTAGTTAATAGTATAAACAAATAATACACAGATCACAAAACTTTATTCATTTATTAATTATCTAAGTAATTTTTTATCATCAGTATAATAATATTTATATATTTCGATAAGAATAAATAAAGTTATTATCAAAAATTTGTTCTTATTCAATACTAAATCAAATACAAGATTAGTACTATATAAAATACATTTATACAATCAAATTTGAGTAGTCCAATACAATCTCAAAAAATCAATTTAGTGTGCCTTTGAAATTGTTGTAGCTTAAGAAATAATCAATTAACTTTTAAGCTATAACAATAGAAGTGTTTTGTAAACAGCCTTTAAAAACTGATTAAGTTTTAACTGATTATATAATAATTAATTTTATAAAAAGATTTTAAAAACTACCATTTCAACATCAAATTATTTCTAAAGCTGATTTTACATTGTAAAAGGTCAAATATATCCGTACATAATTATTCAAATTACAAAATAAACTTGAATCAACATTTTATATATTAAAGAAATAATTTTGTAATTTATTTATGAATTAAAAAAATATAGAAATGAAAGTGGGCTGGCGGTGGTGAATTGCAATTGATTGGTCCTATCGAGACCAAAATTTCCGATCTACCGGAATCCTGTGAAGGCACTAGATTCCAAAGCCTATTTTGGTCTTAGGAAGTGGTGAAAATTCAGCCGTCTTTCTGTGGCCTAAATCATAATCCAGTAAAATCACTAGATTCTTGTAGATCATAACTTTCTAAACTTGATGAGAGCGACAGTGTCTTTAATGCGCTATCACTGATCTGCAGATCCAATATTTTGAATTTTTTGAATTGTTAATTAATTATAATTTATTTAATACTTTTTTAAATACTTATCAAACAACACATTTACAATTATAAAAGTATTTTGAAAAATAAAATTTTTTTCGGTCATTATACATACAACAACAATTTCAAAATCTAATTTACCAATTGACCCATGAATTTATTTTTGAGTTTGATGCAACCATTTTTCACCCAAAAATATATTTAATTTTCTTAAATAATGTGATCAAAACTTATACTCTGTCATTAACTATGATAGGGAATTGAATCTCACTTTTTTTTTTTTCCTCATGTATCATCAGTGAAAAGACGTTTAAATTTTAAAAATAATGGAAATAATTTTCAAGTTTTGTTCTTGGTCCAGAAAATATGTTATCAAACAAAATTTCGCCTTGAGCTTTTTGGGCATTGAAATAAAGAACACACGCTTAAAACGATATACACGATTTTGTATTTGACATCGTCGTTGGTATTTTACCCATTCAAAGTCCCTTCATTCTTCAAAAGTTCAGAATCTGCTCTCTGAAATTGCCTGGAAAAACCTGTGCATGTCAGCTTCTTCTTCTTCGTGTCAAAACTCAAATTCTATGTCTATATAGTCCTTGTTATAGGTCAATTGCGTACCCTTTGAAGTTTGACCGCCAAATCTTAAAACCCTCCAGCAAAGATCCATGTTTGACATTTGATTTGCTTTTCTGGAAGGTCAATTGACAAAGCTAGAATTCAACTCCTTTCTTTCTTTAGTAAGCCATGATTACACGATTGTCCCGTAAAACATTTTGGCTGCCTTTCATGACTAGGACTTTGGTGGAATCAGTCTCTTTAAGAAACAAGTTGCGATAACAATACATAAATTAATATATTTATTCGTTTAAAAATATACTATCTTTCATTATCATTTAACTGATAAAATGACTGTTTTTGATATATATATTCAGGTTTAAAACCAGGTACTTCTTCCGTTTAAAACCTTGTTCCGTCTACACGTATTTTATATTAAAATATCACTAATCATCTTAATGGTCAAGGAATATGACTTCAGCATTCAGTAGAGTAGATAAATCATCTTTAAAATAGATTGATAGAAAAAGAATTTCTCATTAAATTAATAAATACATTTATTAATTTTCTCAATAATTTGTTTTTAATGATTGTAGATACAAAAAATCTACCGCTGCGGAAATAGGGTCTGATCTCATGAGATTGAGGCCACCAACAATCCGCTGTACCTACACACACAAGAAAACAAGTGTGAAGCGAACGGAAAACATCGGGGTGGTGTTTGCCGTAGGCACGCCGATGCTCAAGTTAAGAAGGCTAAATGAGGCTAATTTAGTTAGGATTAGGGAAAGAGAAGGTTACCAGAAGTCTAGTCGGAGACTACAACTACGACAGTGATACGAGGTTCCCAAGAGTGAGAACTATAGGTGTAATATTTCCCCCCTTGTAAGAGGGTTGACCTTTGTTTAAATAGCAACTGTAGGATCTTCGAGTCCTAGTACAACTATGAGTCCTTTGGAGGTTGAGGTTTAGTGAATATGAAGGCTTTTGATTCCCTCACCTTAGTAGGAGAGGAAGTCCTAGTTAGTCTAAGATACAGATCTTAGACAAGTTAGGATAGTAATGGATCTCTTCGGTAGAATCTGAATAGTACCGAAATAAGAAATAGGCAACCTTAGGGTCTAAATAAGCCCTAGGTCCAATAGGTGATCTTGGATCAAAGGGCCTGGGCCCAAACAAGTTGATGATGAGGCATAAACAAATCGGGGCCTTTACTGATTGGGCTCAAGCAGTGAGAAACAGGGTAGATGTGCTGAGCGGACCTAATATGCAAACTCTATTGCGAGCCCAATCAAAATTGGGTCATGGCTCCGAGCTTTATTGAAGGTGTCTTTGTCTTTGGGCCTATTTGGGCCGAGGATATTTTTTGGCCCTAACAGTTTGCCACCCACTCTCTAAGTTAAGGAATGCTTAGCTTAGAGAGTAGATGTTGCGTGGAGGTGTGCTTAGTCATCTTTCGTGACCGACTGGTTGAATATGTGAATGTGCTGCTTCTCTGTTCGCATAACCAAATAGCATAGTTTTTACTATAGGTGATGCACTCAGTATACCAGGCCGAGTGGGTGGGTGGAGGTGAAACACAAACATGCCTTTACTCGGTGTATCTAACCGAGTGAGAAAGTGGAGTTGACCTTGAAGACCTCGCCTGGTGCATCAGCTTATGGGACAGCATGAAAGAATCTGCTAGAGGTCCTCACTCGGTATGTCGAACCAGGTGAGAGGATATGCAAAACTTCCCATGAAGGTGTTCTCACTCAGTATATCAAACCGAGTGAAAGGATGTGCGAGCTATCCCATGAATGTGTCCTCACTCGGTGTATCGAACCAAGTGAGAGTATGTGCGAACTATCCCATGAAGGTGTTAGTACTCGGTGGAATACGTTAGGGTCATTTTGGTGGTGGTGCCTTCGGCTGATTGGTTGAATCCGAATAAGTAGGTGTATGCGCACTCCCAAGCAAGTGGCTAGTTCACTCAGTCGAGATGACCGAGAGGGTGGAGGTTGTGTTTTGCTTTGGCGATATTTGTCACGAGGTTGGAGAGCCAAGGTTACATAGTCAGTATGTCCGATGATGACTCCACTTGGTCGGGCGAACCGAGTGAGTGGTTAGCATCTCCATGGTGTATGCATGACGTGGCAATCGCGAACCCTAAATAGGTAACGTGAAGCTGAATAATTCATCTCTCAACACGTGTACGACAGAGATCTCTCTTCTAAGTTTGGGTGGGAAAATGGAATCACACTATTCGATGACCAATCGGAGGTTGCCACACGTAAGCTTTGATAGCTTTCGTCAATAAAAGTGTTGAGGCGACTGTTCGTTTCATTTCATTCTCCATTTCTCTCTTCTGTCTTCATGTTTTCTTCTTGTTTCAGTTTTTCTCTACAACAGTGAACAGATTCCAGGAACTTTGGCCATTTTCACAGTAAATACTCGCTTCCTTGTATTGTTTTTCGTTTCCTTTCTTCCTTTCTTTGTGTTTGTGGTACTTTTGAAGGGATTTGGGTAAGGTTCGGTAGATTTTTTAGGGGAGTTTGAAAAGGAGAAGGTGT